CGAGGGTTAGCAAAGTAGAGGAGAAAAAGAGCAGTGCTGTACGAAGGGAGTAGGAGTAGGAAGAGGAGGACTGGGAAGGACGAAAAGACGAAGGCGGTGGCGCGGCGGGACGGCCAGGGGGATGATTTCGTGTAGCGCCGCGTTTTTAATGCTCTGATCTTTATGTAAAACAGAACACGGACGGCGAACGAGGGCGAAACAGGGATGCAGGGACGAGAGTCCTGAGATGAGGGAGGGGAGGGAGGGGGCGAGGAGAGCCCGGGGACGGAGGATGCAGGGAGATAGGCGCTCGAGCATCAAGCCGACCGTGAAATTGTATGAATCAAGGAGGTGCATGGAGAAGCGCAGAGACACAAAAAGCGGCGATACAAGTGGAACAAAAAGCGAAGATGCGAGAACGAAGAGGAATGTTGCTCGCGTCTGCTTCGATTTCCAATGGAAACGCCACTTCCCTGACGCTTTCCCGAACGGACGGTGACCTCCGTTCGCCTCCTGTCTCGACGAATCTCTCGCACGGCTTGGCGACAGAAACGAATTTAATCCGCCACCGCTCGCGATTCCCAATGAGGAGTTACGCTCCTTCCGCTCGTTCGTAAGGGAGTTCGTAAGGGACCGTTTCTCAACGATGAATTCCGGCGTGGAGTCGAACGAGGTCGAGAAGAAGAAAGAGGGGGAGAGAAAAATGTAGCCGAAGTAAATCGCGTCTCGTAATCGTCACGCGGAAAGGAAGAAGAGAGACGGACGTTATTCTTGACAGCAGCCACTAACACCTAGTTACCCTCGCGCGAACTACCGCCGAGGCGTACACAGAAGCGGTGCTTCGCCCCCCTTCCAGTTTACCCTCCCGATTTCTCCAGTCCTGGCTTGTTCGCCGGAAAACCACGTCGTGTCTTGTGGATATATTCGCGGCGAGGGACGCTTTCAAGCCCCCTACCATTTTCAGGCTTCCCGTGTCGACGCGTTAGCTTCCTTTCGCTTCTATATTGCTCGTATACACGCGTCACGGTTTATCACTCTCGCGGGGTTATTGTCTTTCGTCTAATGGTACACGCACGTGCGCGCCGCGTACAGGTGTGTAGACAGGATCGTAGACTAGCTCCCAGACTGCACGGACGCGCGCACCAGTAACACTATAGGAGGATATTTCATCCTGGCGTTTTCCCGCTGGAATCAGGCCGTGTGTCGCGTATACTATATTTTTCCATGGAATGCTCTCGCCTCGTCCACCTCTCTCTCCCCTCCCCCTCTATATATTCGCGAAGAAACGAGATGCTCACTCCAGATACGTCGACGAACTTACAATCTACAAGCAGTCGCGGTACATTGTATCGTTTCTCGGTTCGTTCCGGTTTCACGATCCGGAGTTTCTTCGGCATAATAGGTTCGTTGCGGATACTTGTGCACGCATATTCCACGGTGGACCGGCGCAGCGCAGTGTAAACGGGCACGCTTCCAATCGGAGCGTTTAATCAGGATGTTTCCAATCTCGATTACAAACGAACGATTACAAAGTTGATCATAGACGACGCAACACTGCCGCATCGAGGACGCGGCAAGACGCTGATGAAGCAAACAGGGAACGAAATAAATGACAGAGGACTAAGACGGTGAGAAAAGACGCGAAGACGAAACGCGACGTATACAGTTTGTCGCGAGAAAGCGGTCGACACGCAAGATAGGGGAAGATAACATTATGGTTGCTGTGAAATTATTGCATATAGTCTAAATATTAAAGCGTGGCAGAGTGCTCGGTCGGACTCGTCGGATGGTGGGTGATGGACGCGAAGGTATCGTCGTGTGTGCTTGTGCGCGTACACGTACGTATTCGAGGGGGTGGGGGGATGGAGCGCGAGAGATAAAGGAGAAAGAAGTAGGAAGACAAGAGACAAAGCGAGCAGAATAGAGAGAATACGCAAGAGAGAGAGAGAGAGAGAGAGAG